GGTGCAGAGCTTGGGGGGAAAGTGGTACACTCTAATTGTCAAGGATGATTACACAAGGTGGAACCGTGTCTATTTCCTCAAGCACAAATCAGACGCAGCTGAGGCATTCGAGAGATACCTTGCAGAAAACCGGGCAGAAGATGCCCCGTCCGATGTCATGGTCGTGAGATCTGACAACGGAGGAGAGTCTTTTTAGGGAAAGTTCGGCAGGGTGTGCCGGAAGTACTGCATCAAACAGGAGTTCACCCCCGCACACAGCCCAGAATACAACGGTGTTGCTGAGAGAGCACTGGGTCTGATCAAGGATGCAACACTAGCCGCCCGTATCCAAGCGCCAACTCATTACCCCGGAGCACCGAACTAGCCCTCCCTTTGGGCCGAGGCAATAGCTTGGGCATGCAACGCCCTGAACTGCATCTCCACCACATCCAACCCAAAGACGAAATCGCCGTACGAGATGTGGGACGGGCACCCTCCCCCGCCGGGGGCGACGTACCCGTTCCTCAAACCTGCCTTATACAAGGTCAAGCGCACGCACAAGTCCGAGTCGAAAGCCCAAAAGTGCTTTTACCTCGGCCCGGGAATCAACACCAACCGTGATTGCGCGCGCATCCTCAACGAAAAACGCCAAGCGATCACAACTCGCAACGTCACCTGGCAATCCGTACCCGCTGCACCCACCGCCCTGCCCCAGTCGCTGCCTCCCATCGCAGAGGAGGAAGAGGAATTCGCGACTGGGGAGGACGAGGTTGGAGAGGGCACGTCAAGCCAAGGTAAAGGGAGGGCGGAGGGAGAAACTGTGGATGGAGAACCATGTTTCAACCTTTGCACGACGGCAGCCCCAGGGCCAGCGGGGTCGCCCGCTCGCGTAGCGCCGGCGGCGCCACCGGCCGCGCCCCAGGAGTCGGGCGCGGGCGACGCTGGCGATGGCGCCCCCTCGAGCAGGAAGGGCGCGATCGTCGCCCCATCTACCACGTGGGTCGGCATGGCCGAAGTGGGCGGCGGCGAGGACGACCGCCGCAGCAGCAGCAGCCGTGGTAGCGGCGGCAGCGGCAGCAACAGCGGCAGCAACAGCGACAGCAGCAGCGGCAGCAGCAGCGGCATCGGCAGCGGCAGCGGCAGCGACAGCGACAGCGAGACGGATCGCCCGGCGCTCCGCAGGCCAGAGGCCCGGCGGCTCGCCCGCTTCGACAAGCCGGCGGAACTCACCAGCCGCCGCACCAGGGAGAACCCTCGCCGAAATCCGAGGTACGAGTCGCCCCCGTCGCCGACAAGTGCCGAAGCCCTGCTCGCCTCGGCGGGGAGCCTGCCCGTCAGCAGCACGGAGGAGTTCACCAGCTGGATGCTCTCGGCGGTACTTCACGTGGCGGAAGGGCTAGAGGCAAGGGCAGTGCGAGAGTTTCTGTTCGAGCGCGCGGAGGAGGCCCACGCGGCGCACCAAGAGGCGGAGGACTTCCTGCTGCGTGCGGTGGACCTCACGCTCAACTCGCCAGACGCCTTCGAGACGGCTCTGGCGTCCCACGAGCTAAGTGAATCCCCCATAGGNAGGATTTCCTGCTGGGTACGGTGGACCTCATGCTCAACTCGCCAGACGCCTTCGAGACGGCTCTGGCGTCCCACGAGCTAAGTGAATCCCCCATTGGCAAGCGTCCGAGTGATGTAGAACCCCCCCCATGACCGTAGCCGGCGTTGCCAAGTCTGTGTACAGAGAGGGGTGGGAACAGGCCATGATGGAAGAGTTTGAAAGGAACTCGGGCACGGGGACGTTTTCATTCGTAGACGGTGCGCCAGAGGGGCGCAGGCCTGTGAGCTCAAAGTGGCGTTTTAGTTGGAAGACCAACAAGGAAGGGAAGATAGACACGCTTCAAGCGCGTCTGGTTGCCAGGGGGTTTTCGCAAATCCCGAACGTCTATTTTTTCCGTTCGTCTTCCCCTCGCCCATCATCCGCATCCATTAAGCTGATGTTTGCGGTAGCAAACGAGAAGGGCATGAACCTCAATCACTGGGACGTGAAGCAGGCGAAAACATACGCCACGCTAGACGAGGAAGTTTTTCTGCGGCTCCCCGCTGGGTGCGGGGACAAATCGCATTAAATTATTAAGGCTGAGCGTGCGATTTACGGTCTGAAGCAGAGCGGTAGGCAGTGGGGGTACCACGCTGCTGATACGCTAGTCGAGAACGGGTTCGAGCAATGCAAGGCGGACCCGTGTGTTTTCCGCAAGATGGTAGACGAAGTCGTGGTGATGATTATCGTGATCTACGTGGATGACATTTTGATGACTGGGTCTGACGAGGATTGCGAGGAGTTGCTTATCTCAACAAGAAATTTCCCACCAACAATCTTGGAGAATGCGAATGGTTTGACGGGTGCGCCATCGAGAGAGATGTAGAGGCCGGGAATCTTGGAATCTCCCGAACCGCGTACATTGATATCATGGTGAAACGCTTTGATATACAATCGACCTCCCGCATCCCTGCTTCCCCTGATGTCGACCTAGGACCGAAGCGAGATGACGGGAAGGGAGGGGAGTGGCCGGTGAGGAGGCCATCAGCAGGATGATGTGGGTGTCGACGTTCTCGCGTGCAGAAGTCTCGTTCGCCGCGCGTGCGGTAGCGCGCCACGCCCACGCCCCGGCGAAGAGGCACTGGGATGCCATCCAGAAGATCCTCGGCTGCTTGAAGGAGACGAGGGACCTCGGCATCACCTACCAACGGGGATCGGGGTTAGGGCTGGCCGTGTACGTAGACGCTAGCTACGCCGACACGGAGGATAGGCGTTCGGTGTCAGGGTTGGCGACGACGGTTGGAGGTACCGTAGNGGCATCACCTACCAACGGGGATCGGGGTTAGGGCTGGCCGTGTACGTAGACGCTAGCTACGCCGACACGGAGGATAGGCGTTCGGTGTCAGGGTTGGCGACGACGGTTGGAGGTACCGCAGTCAGTCATGGCAGAAGGCACAGAGCATGGTGTCTTTGTCTTCAACGGAAGCCGAATGCATTGCTGCCGGGGAGGGCGTCAAGGTGGAGTTTTTTGTGCGTGCTGTGCTTTCGTTTGTTGCCCCAGAAACCAGTGGTAGCAGCATCCAGGACCTTGCGGACAACCGGGGGTGGTGCAGAACCCCCTCAGCTCAGGTAGCACGAAACTCATCGACGTGAGATTGCATTTCTTCCGCGGATTGTCTATGTCGGGGGATATTTCGGTCAAGTTCGTATTGGCAACGGAGCAACACGCGGACCTCCTAACCAAGGTCCTTAGCAGGGCTAGTCTGCAGTACCACTGGCGCAAGTTGATGAATTTTCCGGAATAGCTGTAGCAGTTTCTAGCACTTGGGAGAGGCCATGTTTTCCATGCGGGGAAAGGCGCATAACTGTTGCGGTCTGTGTACCAATGGCAGGAGTAGGGGGAGTTGGGAGACCATCGTCCGGGGGAACGTAGTCCCTCGCCTTCCGGTCTCCGCCTTGGCCTTTCTATTAAGTTCGGCCGTTGTGATCCGCTGTGATAGCTACGGTTTTTTTTGTGGTGGTAGGGGGTGGTGTATCGAGGGGTTTTGCCCGGACGCCGGGTTTCCCCTCCACATATGACGATGTTGGTATTTTCTGATGCACCCAGGGGCGTTTTTGCCCCATTGATGGTTGGTCATTTGCGTGAAGAACCAGGAGGGTGTTCGTGGGTCTGCGANCTTTGAGCACTCCCTCTTTCGCCCTTGTGAAGGACGGTCGTCTACCTCTCGTGAAGTTAATACATCACCAAAACAGTCTCTCCCGATAAATAAGTGGCGTAGGCCGCAAACAAGCTCTACGGTCATCATCAGTCGGACGTTCCCGTTCTATCGTAAACCAGCAGGAGCTGGACGAATTTGAGGAAGCCGACTCTCAACTATTCAATATCTTTTATCACATATTGATTGGGCCAGCTAAATACGTGTTACGGCGACGCGCGCCTGAGGATGAATCGAGTGGAAGCGGACTAGCTGTTTGGAAGGAGCTGTAATATAAATTTCAGCCTGCCGATGAACACCGGCGGAGAAACCTGGAACGAGAATTGGAATCAGCTACCAGCCAAACTGGTACTCATCCAGACATCTTCATCACCAATGTCTGGCATCTCGCGGAGTAACTTCGCTTCATCGGAGGTATGGTCACCGATGAGAAACTTGGAAACATCATACTGCAAGGACTACCAGCGGAGTACCACCTGATTCGGTACCATGCTAGCTCGAGGAATGAGTACAAAGATTTTGCAGACATCACTCAAACGGCGCAGAACATGTGGTACAACCGAGACCGCAAAGATGGCGCCATCACGTCATTCAAGGATAGGAGGAGTTCTGCTCGTGACGCGAGGTATTCTGCCATAACGGAAGCACCCCGTCAGTCACGATGCCGAGATGGAGGCTATTTGGCGCCTTCATATAACAGAGATGCGGTGGAATGCTACAACTGCCACCGTTTATGGCATTTTCAACGGAACTGCCTGGAGCTGTATTCAGGGAGTACTCATAGTCGTGCATGCCGTAGTCGTTAGACCATTGCCTCGCATCCCTCCAAAGCCGGGACGGAGCACGCCGGAATCTCACCGGATCAGGTCTCACATCACCAAGCGCGAACCGCCGTGAGGTATTCGGCGAGTCGCATGAAGGTTGCGCTGCATCCTGCTAAGGGTGTTCGGCATCTTGTGCTTACTTCCTTGCGTATGGATGACAGCTGCGTATGACTCAATTGATTTTCTGGTGCTTTCACTTCCAGACACAGTTATAAGCACTGTGTAGCTGCCTCGAGGGTGCTTGACCATTTTAAACAATGTGGTGCGATCATCCCCCTTGCGCGGAGTGAGGGTTCTCCACCCCGCACAACACGATCCACTCGACCACCATTATGGTTACCGCCAAAATAAAAACCAGAGGGTAAAAGAAAACGGTAACCTGTTTGCCGAGCTCACGAAGTGAATTGGCTTGTTTTACAATGTCGTTGCCAAGCGACGAAAACCCAATCCCGATGGCAATCACCGGGGGAGGAATTTGGCAGGGACGAAGTAATTGCCGGGTACCTTCCAATTCTGAAGTCCCTTCTTTGGCCGTTCCACCTCCTCGAGGTCTTGCACCGCTTCCAATCGTCGAGTGGCTCGTGTCGCCGGTCTCGCGTTACTTGTTCGATGATGTCTTGGTTCAGGGTAGGGGACTTGGTGTTGAGGATGGTGCCGAAGAATCTCGCCCATCGCTGGAGGATGTCGTTCTTTCTTTGAAGCAGCACGCCATTCTCGTGCGCAACTGTAGGTCAAAAAGAGAACCCTCTTCTCTTTTTGCCCCTGCTCCTTCAGCCGATCCGTCAATTGGGCAGAAGGATCGGCATGGCGAACCGCGGGCGTTGCAACCCCACTGAAAACTCTAGCAAGATCAGCCCGGCTCGTGTCCAGGCGAGGACATATAACACACTCCGGTAGAACCCGGGTTCGGTTCGTTGTTTGTCCACACCAAGACATCGCGTGGCGCGGTCGTCTTCCTCTGCTACTGTTGGTGGGCTGGGGGGGGGTCTCTTCCGTACCACACACGACAAACACGTAACAGTAGAATGAGTACAGTATCAGCGCCAAGATCTCCGAAGTGCGAATTGGTTTGGTGCCACTATCGATGTGGCACCTACTCCGTTGGGTGGATGGGGGATACTGTAGGGGGAGGGTGAGGAACATCCGGAGGCAACGGAGGCCGAATATGCTAGCCTGAAAGCTTTCCTGGGTGCCGACCGAGGTGCGCATAAGGTTCCGTTTTTAAAAACTTCTTTGTTGTGATACAAAAAGAAGGCAATGAGGCGTAGTCCTATGCAATGTTCATCGAACTAAAACTTTGGTGGGGGTGGGGTGGCGGGTCGTCTCCTTTCGCAACGCGGCAGAATACGGCAGCACAGAGGAGGACGAGGAGGATGATGAGTGTACGTCATTCTTGTCGGAGAGCGACGGACCCGACTCGGCGCTAGAGGACATGAAAGACATTTTCGATGACGACACGAGCTGGGACGCATAGGTACGTGGGGACGCCTGTACCCAATCCCTTTTTTTTGTTTTTTACATCAGTTTGTGTTGTCGTTCGCACGTTGATAAGTCAACAGCAAAACCACGTCGATGTCTACTTTTATTTGCTACCATAATCCAATTCTGCCCAGGGTGTGCAGCAACACTTCGATTTTTCCGAGGTGGCCAGTCGCGCTCAACCCTGTTGTCGTGACCTGCAACTGTTGACGGATTTTTTCCACGAGCAATATGAAGTCAAATCGTCTGAACGATGAAACATTTTTGCACGTGTTGCGAAAGCCAAACTCCAGTGTTCCAGCCGGTTCTCCGGCATCATCAAATCAGCGGGTCATCGCTCATGCCGGCGCATACATGCCGCACGCCCTACCTTTCATAAGAACCGCCTTTTGCATTCTCGTGTTTCCTACAGGCATCTCAACAAACGTCCATAACCGACCCAGGGGGGGAAAGGTTGGCGGGCAGCAAACTTTGCGGAGGGTGGTGCTCCCTCAACCCTATTATGGGGCAGCTGCACATCCTTCCATGCCTTTTTCTTGGGTGTTGAGGTTGCATTGTTGGGGGGGTGTATGTGTGTTTCGCGCCGAACCCGTTGGGTGGATGGGGGATACTGTAGGGCGAGGGGGGGGTACAGTCTTGGAGGTCCAACCCACCAATTGATCACTGTGTCGTTGCCTGAAGTTCATTTCCACGGATGTGTAGCCAGGGCCATGTTCGGGGAGTGTCTGGCTAATGAAAGGATGCAGGGTGCAAGAAGAGCACACCGCCCATCGTCACGAAGAGCTCGACACAATGGGGGCATGGAGCCTAATGCCAGAAATACGTGGACGTTAACAACCCGAGGAACAGCCAGCGGCTGTGGACGGGACTGGGTGGCTGAAAGACGAGTATGGTTCCAAGCGTATCATGACGCCCATTCACTATTGACGGTGCTGCACTGCATCAACCCTTGAGCCAACTTTAGACGTTACCGACCAAATAAAAAAGTGTGTCACGTGCCTGCCGTGTGACCCCGGCACACATGTCAACAATATGCGTGTACATTTGGTGTTGTTCTCTTCATCTTAAAAAATAAAACGTTCCGGTCTCTGCTCAGCACCCTGTTTTGTTCGTACTGGTCCAACTGACGCGGACGCCTTCCGTGGTCACAGGCTACCAACCCCAACAAAGGGGTACACCTTTCTAGAAATCAACCAACGGAACCAAAATTTGAACAAGAAATAATCATTCAACACGCGAATTTTGTGATAGCATCGTTACTCAAAACAAAAAATTGAGATACGATCGAAAACGGTCAAGAAGGGATTAGGGGCAAGATGAAACAAGGAAGAAGAGACAAGGACAACAACACAAAAGAAACATCGGAAACGGGACGAACATGCGCACATTCACGAGGTAAAAAAAGTATCGAAAAACGCCCTCGGGGACCCTGCAACACAAGTGTAAACGGGTACACGCGACAATTGTACCTCTGATTCTTATTGCAGGGTACTTAGCATTCGTCCTGAGGCCTCTTGTCGTCGAAAAAATAAAAAAGCCCAACCCCGTACCGAAATAAAAAAAAAAGAGAAAAAAAAACGGGTGGACGGGGGCCGCAAAATACGTTATTACGTAAAATGAACGGGACACACTAGGCACGCTAACCCCGATCAGACCTATCGACGTGTGGACTTGGAAAATTAAAAGAACACAATAACCCCGCGAAGAGAAAACAAAAAAACAATGGGGTGAGGGGGAGGCGCGAACAATGTTATCCCATAAAATACATGGAGCACGCTCGGTACACTACCCCCCAACAGACCTGTCGACTTGTGGACATGTAAAACGCACGACGGATCGTCGTCCACTCTGCAGCCTATTCGTATTTCCTATCACCGCATGTTGTTACGACGTGGAGAAAAAAATAGCCTGCTTCCGGGGTGTGTTTGCACTTGCACCAATGTGCCAAATTACCCAAGCCTCCGTCGAATGGCACGTCCTACCGCGGTAAACCGCGCGGGGCAGAACCACAATCGCGCTGGGTGGGTTCGCTTTCAGCCATTCACCACGCATTTTAGTTGGTTCCAGGAATGACAGTCTCAGCTTGAAAGCTACACCTGCACGTGCCACCCGCAACGCTTGCACCAAAATACAGAATGCATGACGGTAGGGTGGACTCGTGACGACCCACGCCGGCCGCACCGCCTTCTCCGTGAACACCTCGCGGAAGGCATCTGACCCAGTCTGCATATGAACGATGCACCAGAGCACGGATAGTAGGGCGTGCGGAGTTCGATTTCTAGCAACAGGTCGAGAAACCAAGGCACGCAATCGCATGCTGTTTTGGCGTCAGACTCCACGACTACTACGTCTTGTGTGCATATGTCAATAATTCAAAAGACTGTCCTTCCGCGTGCTGGTCATCCTGGCCACTTCGCGCACGGGACCGCACGATCTCTTGCTGCGCCCAAAAGACTACTGGCGAACTTCCTCCACTATCGGGAATCAGAGACAGCATTGACTCAGCATACTTTACGGATCAGGGCTGGAGGATACCTCATACCGCTGCGGCTTTACTTTCCCGGCTTGCCAAGAAAATAAAAATCAAAACCACCAGCCAACTCACGCAGCAATCAAGTCGTTCGTCATGACGCGCAAGCCATGATTTCCCAGCACCCTGCTCACAGCGTCGCCCCTTGCCCCGCAAGCATCCAGAACGCTGCCTTCGACGCCAACATGCTCGAGAAGGTGTCGAACCTGCACTATTTGCGTTCCGAGAGCAGGGTGGTCGTAAGAAGCTGGTAGTTAATGAGAAAGCCTTGTCGTCACAGTACCTGCTAATATCCGTGTAGGTCCAACCGAAGCGGACGTCGTCCTCGCTCACACCAACTACCACCAACCTACCATAGCTTGCGTGTTGATGTACATAGCCCGTTGAAAAACTTCCGCCACCACCAAAAACGAATGCTGCTGTGTCTCGTCCGGTATGTCAGCTCATAGACTGAGGGACGTCTACATATATATGCCCGCCTACACGTGCCATCAGTTACAATATAGGTACATTCGACATTATATCGTCGTCGAGGGGCACGTGTTGCAAGTCTTGGAGACGAGTTGGGGAGAATGCCTGGCGGATACAAGTTTTCGTTGCTGAGTGCGGTTGGTGTGCATGCATGTGTATGACTCCTGCAGATGCGGCGACTCTGCTGCTGTTGCTGGGTGCGCGTTAGGAATACGACAGCGCGGGACAACGCTGAAACAGTTTACGTCCACACTACCGGAAGCCATCGCATGGCAAGCACCATACATACTTGAGCGTTTAGGTCTGGTCGGACTAACATACGGGAGCCACACCCGTCGCACCGAAGTGCGTGATTGACGTATCTGCAATTTTGCGGGACGATTCTCGCGCAAAAAAAACACAAGAACAGAGCAATAACGAGTTGACAACAACAACACTTAGAGGGGGTGTGGGCTTCGTCACCCATGCATGAGCTGCTTACCTGCGACATTGTCGATGGATAGCGACCCGTACGAGAGCTTTGTCNATCTGCAATTTTGCGGGACGATTCTCGCGCAAAAAAAACACAAGAACAGAGCAATAACGAGTTGACAACAACAACACTTAGAGGGGGTGTGGGCTTCGTCACCCATGCACGAGCTTCTTACCTGCGACATTGTCGATGGATAGCGACCCGTACGAGAGCTTTGCCCTATCTTCATAGTATCCCACGAACCCGTCTTCTCCTTCAAACCGCGGATCTTGAACACAGCGAACAGATTGTACACACAGTCGGAACGACGGCATACGCATTCCCCAGCGGTGAGAGGCCTTGTCACCAGATCACGGTCATGGACCCATCCTTCACCGACCTGCGCAGCCCACTCCTACAGAGTCGCCCAGTTGGAGCCGTCCCCCACGTGCTTCCACCTCCCACCTGGTCCTGGTCCAACCCGCCCACACGCGAAGCAAAGCATCTCACCACTTTCGGACGGTTCGCCGTGGACGTCTCGCCCGCACCCCGCAAGAGGACCTTTTCTTGNTCCAACCCGCCCACACGCGAAGCAAAGCATCTCACCACTTTCGGACGGTTCGCCGTGGACGTCTCGCCCGCACCCCGCAAGAGGACCTTTTCTTGACCTTTTGGCGCGAAAACCCGCCGCCTGTGCAGGTGGGCAAATCTCTGAGTTCTCCATCCACAGACCTTGAACCAGAGTTCTGGCGGGTGACACAGAAAGCCAACAACCTTGGCTGCTTGTATCACCAGCAGTTCTCAGTCGAAAGATAAACGCCCATTACGGACACGCTGTCAAGTGCACGGGGGTTGGACCGGTTGAAGCTCTGGGCNACGCCAATAACCTTGGCTACTTGTATCACCAGCAGTTCTCAGTCGAAAGATACACGCCCATCGCGGACACGCTGTCAAGTGCACGGGGGTTGGACCGGTTGAAGCTCTGGGCAGGTCGACCGTCGGGGCGTTATCACACACCCGCACCGGGAATGGCAACGTGAAACCACCTCTAATACCACCGCGGTGTACGCACAGGCAAGTGTAGTGCTTTTTCGTTGGCGATGTTGGGCTGTGGGGGCTGCAGATACGCGTTGTGGAAGGTCTGCTCTGACGGGACGTTGTCGGGGGGGGCTGCGTAAGGATGTATCCCCGGCTGGAGGTACGCCTGAATCTCTCTTTCGGCATCGTGCAATCGAAAAAAAACTACACTTTTGGACCAAAGAAGTCGCACGTAGCCAGTATCCACACGCTCTTTACACCAAACGATAGCTGAGCACCACAGCTACTCGTCCCTGCTTTCAATACTCCAAACGGTGGCCTACAGCGTTCGCGAGATCGATACCCAGTGCAAACAAAAAGGCGGCGCAATCTAAAGTCCTGACACTACCCGGGCCGTTTTACCCTCAAGACTTCAACTTCAACTTGGGCAAACGGANGAAGGTCTGCTCTGACGGGACGTTGTCGGGAGGGGCTGCGTAAGGATGTATCCCCGGCTGGAGGTACGCCTGATTCTCTCTTTCGGCATCGTGCCATCGAAAAAAAACTACACTGTTGGACCAAAGAACTCGCACGTAGCCAGCATCCACACGCTCTTTACACCAAACGATAGCTGAGCACCACAGCTACTCGTCCCTGCTTTCAATACTCCAAACGGTGGCCTACAGCGTTCGCGAGATCGATACCCAGTGCAAACAAAAAGGCGGCGCAATCTAAAGTCCTGACACTACCCGGGCCGTTTTACCCTCAAGACTTCAACTTCAACTTGGGCAAACGGAAACAGTTGTGCCTCGTCACTAACGTGGATATATATATATATTGGACAGATAATAGGTGGTGATGATGTTAGCTTTCGTTCGATACCTAAATATCTTTGTAGTTGGTTTTACTGTCGAAGAACGAGCTTTTGGCGCGGGAGGTGGCTNGTCTACAGCGTTCGCGAGATCGATACCCAGTGCAAAAAAAAAGGCGGCGCAATCTAAAGTCCTGACACTGTGTGTCACCCGGTACACACGTACCCCGGTCGCCCCGGTGGTCTAGTGGGTAGCCTCGCAGCCNACTTCAACTTGGGCAAACGGAAACAGTTGTGCCTCGTCACTAACGTGGATATATATATATATTGGACAGATAATAGGTGGTGATGATGTTAGCTTTCGTTCGATACCTAAATATCTTTGTAGTTGGTTTTACTGTCGAAGAACGAGCTTTTGGCGCGGGAGGTGGCTTAGGTGGTTGTTAATACCCGCCGCTACTCTATCTACTTCGAAATATTTTTTTTCGAAAGTAATAAATTTCCAACTCAAACGCACGGGGCGGCGTTCTTTTTCAAGACGTTTTTTTGTTTGTTGTGTTGGTTCGACGAGGGGGGTGCCTCGGGTAACATCTTCTTTACAGTAGCGACTTCTTTGTGAGTGACCAGATAAACGGGCTGCATAAAGAAGATCCAACCAACAGAAAATACAAATGCAGATAGATGTTGGGCAGAGAGGACGAACGGCGCGACAATGAGTCTAACGGTTTCCTGGACGCGCTGAGAGGACCAAGAAGGAAAATAAAACGGACAACATCATCATCATCATAATGTTGCTTTTTCCTGCTGGCATGCCCAATCTTCTTGAAGATCGGGATTTCCTTCCGACGTGCATGATGAAACGAATGACTACCAAAGGGTTGCCGGGACTCTTCGGATGGAAATAATATTTTTTCGCATCTTGATACTTTTTCGCATGTTGCAAATCCAAGTAAGTCATCAATATTCGTTGTATGATACCCCTTTACAGCAGTAGCTTCAAGAGTACAAGGCTTGATCATACGCATCATGGGGACTCCAGCCAGCAGTAGACACCACGCGGTGGCTTCGACGATGAGAATAGTTGACGTAGTGTCGAAGACCTGTTGAGGAGTTTCCTGTAAGTGAACAGAGATCAACGCTCAACGCTTCGTTGTTGTTGTACGTACTTGAAGGAGGAGTTTGGGAACGGAGAATCTTTTCACTGATTATATGAGTGTGCCTCGGAAAGATTCCGTGATGAAACCGCAGGAGCAGACACGATGGGTGACAAAACGACGTTGTTGTTGTCTTGGCACTAAAATAAAGTAAAACGGGATAAATGCGAATATTGGAACGAAACCAGCGCCCGCACACGACAAGCTGCCCCCAAAGGTACACACACTACTTCTATATGAAGAAAAGAGGACCACACCAACACGGCAACCACACCCAACCCTCCTCTCCAAGGATATAACAACAACACGACAACACCCATCAACTTCTCTCCCTCGCTCTCTCTGTTCAAAAAGCACTGAGACTAAATGACTCATGCCTGAGCGGCCAAAGAAGATGGGCGTGTGGAGGTGGCCGGCGGCGACTTGGAAGCCCCCCAGCGAAGAAGAGTATCACGAAGCGTCATCCGGTGAGGTGTCGTTTATCTAGTATGGTTACCCCAGCAACCAATTTTTGATGACGGTGGTGATGGAGAAGATGGTCAGTGCTGTATGCATAGGACACATGAAGTATACAGTCGGCGAAGTTGGTTAGGACAGAACTCAAGCTGACTGACCATTGTTGTGGCGCTTCTATGTTGCTGAAACCGCCGACTCGCGCCCAGAGTTTGTCGATATGGACCTGTTTTGTACGTTGTTTCTGCAAGCACTGGCCCCGGTGTTGGCGCATGTGTGTAGGGGTAAAAGGGGGGTATTTCAGCTGACCGCTTTGTGGAACAGGTCGGTTGGCACCAGGTCCATCCAGGTTACTGAACCTATTGTTACTCCGCTCTTTGCTCTCTTTGTTTCGTGACGAACGACAACATGACGGATGATGAAACGGCGTGACAAAGCCGCTTGATTGAGTTGTTAGCAGCAGTCCTAGATGACCCACGATGTGCGTTTTGTTTCCCGTGAGCAAGCATTTGTTCATTGCCATATGTAGTCCAGGTGCATCGCAGCTAAGAAAAAGTAAAGACGCAGTGTATCTTGCGGTGTGCTTCGCCGGCGGCTCTTTGCTCGCCAGTCCATCTCCGTCTGTCTGAAGTTTGCTCTGCCTGTTGTTGAAATCACCGTCTCAAAGGCAAGCTACACGGCACGATTTTCGTCTGAGTGTTGTACCTCTAATGCGCGTTGCATAGTCGCCGGTGTTTGGCAGATTGTCTTGTACATGCGCGCGTACATGTACGCACAACATGCATGTTTTCCTATGCGTACGTCTGTCTTCATTCGTTCGTCTCTCTGCTGCTGCTGCTGCTGCTGCTGCTGCCGTTGCTGTGGATTGACTTTTCGATTTTTTTTTTTTTCTGAACATGACACAACGAATCCATCTCTAACAAAAGAGGCCAAGACAGATTAGCAATGAATCCATAGCGTCAGTGAAGCTACATGTGTTTCCATGATTTCCTGAGCAGCAGACAGCGACATCTCCCCCGTGGGTAACATTTCAATTTTTGTTTTTCACCTGCTCGCGCACATATCGAAATGAATTCTTCGCTGGTGGTGTCCAGATCGCTCCCTTCTTTTTCTCTGAATGAATGTGCGGTGTTTTTTGGAACAACAACATCAATCCTCATTTTATTGAAACTTGAAGCAAAGTACAAAAAAAGCTAGCTGACTACACCAAACGATCGCGCGGATGCCGAGGGTGTAGGAGAGCTCTCGTGGGCAAGCACCAGCTGCGAGCAGGAGGGGGGTTTGACCCCCTGTCTCCAGGAAGAGTAGTTACAGCAAAAGACACCAAATTATTTCCCCAGGCGAAAAAAAACGCGAGCAGCAGGCCTTTCTATTTTTTTAATATGACACAACGAGCCTTTTCGATTTTCTCAAAAATAGTGTGGGGGACGAATTGGGGGGAGATACTCGCGCGCGCCCACGTGGGCATTCATGCGCATAGAGCCCACTCAGCACGCGGTCGAACACACCTCCTTCTTGAGGGGAGGAAAGGGGCGCCACCCACACGCACCAAGACCACCACGATACACCCAAACGGTCGGACAGATTGCCTCACCTGCCACAGTAGCAAGCCACCTGTCAATAGTTGAAGCGCGACGCGATTTTTGGTGGTCTTCCCCCGGACAAGGAACCGACCGAGAGAATTGCCGCTCGCGGTGTACCGACACACTTTCTTCATTATAGGAGAGAAAGAGAGAGGGCGACGAACCAACAGCGAGATGGGAGACCAAAGCAGACGGTCGTCGTCGGACC